GGTATTAGGACTTTAGACATGTCAACTTTAAATCAGAAATGACATAGCAGAGAACATACATTACCATCACTTCCTTTAGAAGCCCTATTTCATGCTAAGATGTAGGCTCTGTAGCAGATGGCCTGGGTTGTAAGCTCAGCTATCATTCACCAGATATGTAACATTAGACAAATATCTAGAACACTCTGTTCTGTCTAGTGTTAATTGTTTTCCAAAAATTTTAACTCATTTGTCACAGGTTCATGCATAACCCATTCTTTCAAATATACCCGGCTCATGTCCTCCGCTTACCTCTTGATTGGAGCTCCACTAAGAAAGGGGAATGATTCCACCTTGGACAGTAATCTCAGACTTCCCTCCATCTCTATTGTTAGGTAACAATTTCTGCATCTTCATTTTTGGTTTGTTTTGTTGTGGTTTTACTAAAGCACTTTCTCCAGGAGCTTCCTAAGAATGAATTCAAAGAGGATTTTTTTTTTAATTTCCTGCATGACAAAATTCTTGAAATAACAAATAGCTTACCCTACACTTGGTTAACAGTTTAGAAGAAAATAGAGTTGAAAATCATTGTCACTCAGAATTTCTCAGGCTTTGTTCGAGGGTCTTCTAAGATTCAGTTGCTGTTAAGAAATTCATGATGATGTACTTTCTTATTTGTGCCCCCCGTCCCCGGCCCCGGATCTCTGCAATCTCTTCTTGATCTGAAGTGTTCTAGATTTTACCGTAAGGTATCTGGGATTTTTGTCTTTGGTCATTCATGTACTAAGTGTTCCATATGACCTTACAGTAGGGAGATACATGTGTTTCAGTTCTGGAAATTCAAAAAATCATGTCTTTGGTAATATTTTCTCTTAATTTTCTTTCTTCTCTTTCTGGTACTCCTAATTGCTAATTACTGATTTTCTGAGATTGATTCTACAATTTTCTTCATCTTTTCTTTCCTGTTTCTCTTTTCTTCTAATTTTTGTCCTAATTTGGAAAGCTCCTTGATCCTATCTTACAAACGTCTACTTAATTTTTTTAATTTCAGTTCTTATATTTTTAATGGATGAATTAAATAATGTCAGTTCTTATGTTTTTAATGGATGGATTATTTCTTGTTTCTGATCCTTTAGCATAGTGATTATCTATATTAAAGCTCAATATTTCCTTATATATTTTGAAGTTACTATAATTTTAAAAAATATTTCTGGGTTCTGCATTGTCTCTGATTTATCAAAGTTCTATTTGTATATTTGTATTCTTGTGTTTGTTCTCTATGTCCAGGTTGCACATTTTCCTCAAATGTCTTGTAATTCTCTGCCCATGTGAAACTAGTTGCTAAAACACTGCTGGAACTATTGTACACACTAGCAGAGTTGATAACTAACATGCCTTTGGGTCTTTCCATTGAAAAACCCTGACTGTTTATCTAGAGATATTTTTCCAGTACCTTCCTAGAAAAAAAAAATAATTCTTCCAGAGATGAAGTAAGAGCATGGATGTGAAGAGTGCAGCATGGGTTTGATGACTGTCACCCTAGGAACAGGCAGAGGAAGAGAGGCTGGAAGGAGTCAGTTTCCATTTTCTTGAAGCCTTTTTTTTTTTAAAATACGAAGTGTGCTCCAGTGAGAGAGAGAGACAGAGAGAAAGGTCTTTCTTTTTCCGTTGGGTCACTCTCCAGTGGCCGCTGTGGCTGGTGTGCTGCAGCAGGCGCACCGCGCTGATCCGAAGCCAGGAGCCAGATGCCTCTCCTGGTCTTCCATGCGGGTGCAAGGCCCAAGCACTTGGGCCATCCTCCACTGCACTCCCGGGCCACAGCAGAGAGCTGGACTGGAAGAAGAGCAATAGGGACAGAATCCGGCGCCCCGACCCGGACTAGAACCCCGTGTGCTGGCGCCGCTGGCAGAGAATTAGCCTAGTGAGCCAGGGCACTGGCCATGAAGCCCTGTTTTAGCAGCCTTCTCCTGTTTGGTTTCTCCAGAGAATTAAATGTCCTTTAGTGTCAGCTCTGTGTGTTAGGAGGAAGGGTGGTATTGTATGCTAAATTCTTCAGCTAAACCTAACTCCTCCAAATTCTGAGCGTTTGTGGGATTGTGCAGGGTGAATGGGCTGAGTCCTTGCCTCTTCTCTGTTAACAAATGCTTCAGTTTTACCTTAGCCACTCTGTTTTCAATGATTGCTTTCCAATGTTAAAAAAATGTGTTAAATGTTTTATTCACTGTTGTCCTTTTCTTCAGCTCTCCTTGTCTTTCTGAGCTTATTAATATATCCTTTTTTAAACTGACACAGGGAAGGAGGCATGGTGTTTAATCATATGTCTATATGCCAGTTTGACTAGTTCCATGCCAAATGGAAGATGATTTCTGGTAGCATCCTATGAGTCAAACTTGCCAGGCCAACCCTGATCAGGGGAACACACAGGAATATCATGTCAACTCCCCTGAATTGTTCTTTAAACAAAATTAAGGAACCCTCATCCTTTACTCCTTTTTTAAGATTTATTTATATTTTGAAAGTCAGAGTTACACAGAGAGAGAAGGAGAGGCGGAGAGAGAGAAAGAGAGAGAGGTCTTCCATCCGCTGGTTCACTCTCCAATTGGCCTCAATGGCCATAGCTGCGCCTATTCGATGCCAGGAGTCAAGAGCTTCTTCTGGGTCTCCCATGTAGATGCAGGGGCCCAAAGACTTGGGCCATCTTCTACTGCTTTCCCAGGCAACAGCAAAGAGCTGGATCAGAAGTGGAACAGCTGGGACTCGAACCGGCACCCATATAAGTTGCCGGAACTGCAGGTAGCAGCTTTATCCACAGTGCTGGCCCCTATCTGTTGTGTTTGAATTTCCCAATCAATGCACAAGGCACAGTCGCGGATGCAAAAGCAGAGGTTTATTTGTGGGCTGGGACCCCCATCCGCCCACAGCCATTTAGCCCTGTACAGGCAAAAAGCCCCCTCGTTTGCATAAGAGAGGTTTTTATAGCCTCACACTTACAAGGGTGCAGGTCATCTCCTACGTGGGTTACCTTCTTACTCTCTATATGGCAAGGTATTGGGACCTAACATGTTCATTGGCTCATTTAAACGTAAAGGCTATACACGTTATGTGGCGGGAAGGCCACACAAAGGAGATGGCACTGGGAGGAACTGACGGGAAGCATTGGGCCATAGATTCCAGGGGAGCTGGTGGAGGGCAGGAGTTCATAAATTCCAGGAGAGCTTACTTTCTTTGTTCCAAGGACCCGGTCTGCCTCCTTGGCTGGTCCAGGATGAGGCCTATCATGGCATTATAGCAGACCTGCAAGCAAGCCAGAGTACAGAAGCGGAACTGGCATTTAGCAAGTTAGGGACTGGAACTCCTACACCATCCTTTACTTTTTGCCACTTAAAAATGTTGGCATCTCTTTGAAGAGGGATGGCTAGTTGAGTTTTCCCTCAATTTGTCAAGAAATCAATGAATACCGAAATGATTTTGTTTGATGGTTATGTATGGTTTGATACTAATGAAAATTAATTTGTGTGCCTTTCCTAAACATATGGGTTGCTCAGAAGTGTATGCTGTAATAAGTAATGAAATTCTAATAACTGATAAAGCTCAACAATAATCTTCCCATCTTCTTCCCTCCTCAACCTATGCACATCTCAGCCAAAAACCACAAATGAACAAACAAAAAGCAAAACAAAACAAACAAAAAACCATGATTGTAGCTTGACAGGAATAAGAAAATGGTACTTTAGGGGCTTTTGTTGAGGAGCAGCAGGTTAAGCTGCTGTCTACAATACCAGCATCCCATATGAGTGCTGTTTCATGTCCCAGCTGCTCAAATTCTGATCCAGCTCCCTGATAATATATACCTGTGACAGAAGTGCAAGACAGCCCAAATGCTTGGGCCCCTGGGCCCCTGCCACTTAAGGGGGAGACCCAGATGGAGTTCAAGTTCCTGGCTTCAGCCTGGCCCAGCCGTGGCTATTGTGGCCATTTGGGGAGTGAAACAGCAAATGGAAGGTCTCTCTTCGTCTCTCCTTCTCTCTCTCTGTAACTCTGCCTTTCAAATAAATAAATAAAAATTTTTAAAAAGAAAGAAAAAAAGAAAATGGTAATTTCAAATCCCCTAAGGGCAGATATGCATCTATCTAAATGACCTCTTAGAACATTATTAGAGATAATAATGTTAAAGTAATACTTTTTTTCCTAATTAAAAGTATTTTGCTAAGTTTTAAAAATATCTTTTTTCAGGATGATAAATGCCTTATATCAACAGTATTATTTCTGTGTTTACAAGGGGAAATGAGGCTCAGGAAAGCTTCGAGGCTCAGCAAATGTTCAAAAGGGATTTAGACTAAAGTCTGAATGTCTCTAAAACTCAGATATTTCATATTGCAGTAGGGAATGATGAACATGGCATTCAGTTATGTACTTTTAAAAAATTGATGGGGACTTCCCTTGAGAATCATTTATTTACATAGTGTTCATTCCAGTCTGCCACCTCACTTTTGAGACAGAAGTTAAGATATTTGGTATATTTGTAATCAGATTATAATGATCTTGAACACTCTTTTTTTTTTTTTTTTTTTTGACAGGCAGAGTCAGCATGAGAGAGAGACAGAGAGAAAGGTCTTCCTTTTTCCGTTGGTTCACCCCCCAAGTGGCCGCTATGGCCGGTATGCTGCGCCGATCCAAAGTCTGGAGCCAGGTGCTTCCTCCTGGTCTCCCATGTGGGTGCAGGGCCCAAGGACTTGGGCCATTCTCCACTGCACTCCTGGGCCACAGCAGAGAGCTGGACTGAAAGAGGAGCAACCAGGACAGAATCCGACACACTGACCGGGACTAGAACCCGGGGTGCCAGTGCAAAAGGCGGAGGATTAGCCTAGTGAGCCACGGTGCTGGCTTGAACACTCATTTTAATATAATTTTTTTATTTAATGAATGCATTTTTCATAGATACAACTTTAAGAATATAGTGGTTCTTTCCCCCATACCCACCCTCCTACTCTGACTCTCATCCCACCTCCATCCTCCTCTGCCATCTCCTTCTTCATTATGATTCATTTTTAGTTTAATTTTATATACAGAGGGCCAACTCCATGTTAAGCATAGATTCCAACAGTTTGCACCCCCCCACACGCAACATATAGAGTACAATTTGAGAACAAGATTTGCAGTTAATTGTCATAGTACAACTCATTAAAGACGGAAGTCCTACAGGGGGAGTTAGTGTACAGTTACTTTTGTTGTTCCTTTAACAATTAACACTCTTGTTTATGACGTCAGTGATCACCCAAGGCTCTCGCCATGGGCTGCCAAGGCTATGGAAGCCTTTTGTGACCATAGACTCCATAGGTATTTGGACACAGCCATAAGCAAAGTGGATGTTCTCTCCTCCCTTCGGAGAAGAGTGTCTCCTTCTTTGGTGGCCTTTCTTTCCACTGAGGTCTCACAGAGATCCTCCGTGTAGGATATTTGTTGCCACAGAGTCTTGGCTTTCCATGCCTGAAATGCTCTCCCAGACCTTTCAGCCAGACCAGGAAGCCTTAAGGGTTGATTCTGAGGTCAGAGTTTTATTTACAGCGAATGTCATTCTAGGAGTCTGCTGGATCTTGAGCACTCTTAAAGATACAATCCTATTTACAATTTCTTCTACCATATTATTTTCTTTCTGATGTGATTTTTTAGAAATGCCTGTGGAGGTTTGGAAATCTTTTCTTATATTTCTGGTGAAAATATGAGTCAGAAAGTTGTCATCTGAAGGATGTGTAAATCTCATTGTGAAAAATTCTTTTGACTCTGATTTTCTCTACACAGTTGAAAATACTTTTATAACAGGATGGCTATGGTACAACTAAACAAACATCCTATAAAGAAATTCAACTTGTCAAAACTGGCTTTTTAAATAATCTTGGAACCATTATCTGAATAACAAACCAGATCTGAATTTTGATAGCACACTTCAGTTTTACGGGTCTTCCAATGACCTCATTGTTATATTAAGTGAGTACATCAGATTTCCTTATCCATCAGGAAAGTTCTACACTCTGTGTTTCAGATGACTCAGAAAATACACAATGTTTCTCTCATGCTGCAAGATAAACAGTTCTGGATTTTCTCCACCCAGAGTCCTTACAACTACGCATTCAAAGAAGCATCATCATGAAGTCAGCTCCTGACTGGGGAGAAACTGCCAAACTTCAGTTCATCTCAAACATCAAACCCATTACCCCACAACAAGCCTCATTCCTTTTACTTTTTGTAGGGCTGTACTAAGTATAGCAATGTGTAGTTGCATGTGAGCATGGGTACTTACTAAACAAAGATCTTCCTATCAGAAATTCACCATCCATCTACAGTCCCCTCCTCACACAGACAGAATATTTCCTGAGTGGAAGGATAGCATCCTAACAAGTGTTATCTTCTGTTGGGGTGGGGGAAGGAATATACAGAAATTCCTCATTTCATGTTCAAGGCTGTTACTAGGCAAAGGAAGTCAGATGGGAGCATGCTCCACACTGGATTCCTAAAAGGACTCTAACAACCATGATCAGAAATTTTTTAACTGAGGGATGAATTTGCCATCCCTCCACCTGTACCTCTACAGATCTTTGACAATGTCCGGAGACATTTCTTATGATCACTACTGAGTCCACACTACTGACATTGTGATAGTAGAAGTCAGGGATGCTGCTAAATATCCTATGGTACACTAGGTATTTCCCCCAACAAAGGATTATCTGGCCTCAAATGTCAACAGTGAAGTAGACGCTTTGCAAGAACTCATCCTTTCTTTCCCATTTCATAAAATATTTATCAGGGCTTTATATGTGGTAAAAGTTGCACTCATTGTTGAAAACAATAAAAAGCATTCACTGAGTTTAGGGAGGGGCAAAATATAGTAGAAAAGAATCCTGGTTCTAGAGCTAGACTTCCTGATTGAAATCCCAGCTCAATTACTTGAGTAGTTGTAGACTTGGGCAAGTTCCATATCTACTTTGAGAATAATTTCCTCTTTGTAAAATATTCCAAATAATAGTATCTATGCAATAAACTTGTGATGATTAAATGAATTCTGATATACAAGGGCTTTGAATAAGCCTACCAAATAGGAAACACGAATCTCTCTTTGTCTCCCTTCCTCTTTGTTTCCCTCTCTTTCTCCCTGACATTTAAGATAACTGGGACACACTATGAGTTTTCAGAAACATAAAAGCCTAGTTTCCCTATAAAGCAGTGAAATCTTACAGCAGCACAGTATATGGAAAAAGAGTCCATAGTTGGATTATATTCTAGTGTTCTTGTTCTGAGTTTGTAAGGAACCATGGCAAAATGCATCCAACAACTCAAGCCTTGGTTTCCTACACGTTGCATGGGGATGGAGGTGCTTCCACATTTTAAGGGAATTGGGAAGATAAAATGAGATAATAAATGTGAAAACAATTTAAATTTGATGTTAGATAATATTTTACATTGTGTATTTAACATCTTCCTGCATTCCCACATCGCCAAAACATGAACAACAACAATTACCCATCTCTAAGAAACAATGAAACTGGTAATGCTTAACTTATCTACAGTCCCAAGATTTATTTTGTCACAAAGGCCAAGGAAGTAATTAAATTTTTAAAGTTTTGCTTGATTATTTTCTGGTTGTAATAGATGGGGGCAGGTTAGAGAAAATACATCAATTGTGTAAACCAATTTGTTATTTTCTGATTTTAATAGGTGGGGGCAGGTTAGAGAAGATACATCAATTGTGTAAGCCAATTTGTTAAATGTCTTCAGGTGAGTGGCTGTCTGACCACAGATCATTTGGTAATGGAAGGTATAACCAAGTAACAAATAACATCAGATACAGCAAGTATGTGAGGCGCTCTGACATGTTTTGTCCTTTTGAATTACAGCTGCTGATCCTAAAATGTGGTGTTTACCTTATATTTCCTTGCTCTGATTGGAACTGCTTATCTTAGTGTCCACCAGTGATTCTTCTAACCTCACTTTCTATGTGTGTCACCTGTAGGGAACAAGCTCCGGGTTTCAATAAGCAGAATGAATTCCAAAACCACAGCCTCTTTCCCCCGTTCTCTCTCCCTGCCTAAGCACATGCTGTTTTCTGTGAACTGCGACCTAGGAAACACTTCAACTGCACCCCTGTCACAACACTAAAATCGCTGACCAAAAGCAATGAATATTCCCAGCTCTGGATGAAAGGAACTGTCACAATGAGTCATAATGGGTAGATAGATGTGCACAATGTGCATGATAGAAATGCCAGAGAAAGGGAGAATGGCCCCTTGTAGAATTAATTGTTCCAATTGGGGATTACAAAGGATTAGATGGGAGTAAGCCTGACTCTATGAGTGCAGTGGTCACTGGTCTGCCAGGATAAAGAGTCCTCGCCTCTCCGGACCAATACCCTTCTCAGATGCTAAGTTTGTTTTTGCCAGACCTCTTGGTTCTGTGACCAAAATCTTCCACTTTATCTGCTTGGTCATCATACTTCATTTTTTTCACATGAATTAGATATAGCTAACTATGGGAGTCATCAGAGGTTTCATTAATCCATGGCCCAGCTTCAACTTGATGTGATAGAAGCCTTGCACAAATAACCCGGGAGAGACATCTCAATTTCTGTACCTGAAGTCTCATAATTCTTTATAACGAAAATTACTCTGTGTGTCCTGTATGTGTCCTTCGGGGAAATCCCTGCCCCACTACTTAGCCCCGTCCATACTTCTTTTGCAAACTGCTCTGTCTAGGTATCAAGTCAAAGTGGGACTGAGCTGAATTTCCTATCCAATATGCAACATGATCCATACACAAAGTAAAATCAATCTTTATTTGTCACATCCCTCAGAGGCCTACCTAAAAGGCTGAATCACTACATTTGCACAATTTGCACGTGGTCCCATCCCCAGAGGCAAGAAGCTATGCCACATGATCAAACTCTACAGTGATCACTCATAGTTTCCATTAAGACACTGGAAGGGTTTTCACATAATTTATCCTCTGGCTGACTTAATTCTCTGTCTTAGACAATGGACGCTTTTATAAAGAAAATGCTCTTGGCTTGTAAATCTTTATGTTTTTTTAAGAGTCCACTGCAAATGTAAAAATTGATTTCCTTTGCTGTTTTTTCTTAATTCTAAATAATGCTGTGCACTGCTGCTGTGCCTCAAGGAGCAGGAAGGCAATAATTTACCAGATGTGAGGCCATTAGGCCCCCATTTCCTGAAGCAATGAATTAGCAACTTTTTTCCCTGTCACAGAAAATTGTCACCAAAATAGTCCAAGACACAATGGCAAGTCCAATTAATGATTTGTTTCTTCAAGAGGGCCCAGTTGAGGGATGAATTGACTTTGTAAGGGGCAAATTGGGTTGGAAATTACTCAATATAAAACCAGGTGGCTGCAGGGAAGGATCTGTGGTAAACAATATTGGTTTCATATCATAAATTTTTCCAAAAGTAAAGAAGAATCAATCTTCTCTACTATTTAAGGTCAAATATCACAGATATCTTTGATTTTGTTTGTGCCAATTCTTTAGAAGGAAACAGTGAAATTTTACTTTTGCAAAGTAGTTAAAGGGTAGGTCTGTGGTGTAACAGTTAAGTCACTTCTTGAAACATCTGCATCCCATATCAGAGTGCCTGGTTCAAGTCCTGGCTACTCCATTTCTTCCTGCTAATGCACATCCTGAAAGACTGCAGATAAAGGCCCAAGTACTCGGGCCCCTATCACTCACATGGGAGACCCAGATGGAGTTCCTGGCTTCTAGCTTGGCCCTGGCCCAGTCCTGGTGTTATGGGCATTTGGGGAGTGAACTAGCAGATGCAAGATCTTGCCGTATCTTTCCCTTTCTGTTTCAGTCCCTCTGCTCTGCCCTTCAAAAAATAAACAAATAAATAAATACACAAATGTTATGAAACTAAAAGTAGGGGCCTATGTTGTGGCATGTAAAGCTGCTTCCTGCTATGCCAGAATCCCATGTAGCATTAGTTCATTTTCTGGTCACTCCACTTCTGATGCAGCTCCCTCCAGGCTAATGACATGGGATGGCAACAGAAGATGGCCCAAGTGTTTGGATCCCTCCCACCCACATGGGAAACCTGGATGAAACTCCTGGCTTCTGGCTTTGCTGTGCCCCAGTGCTGGCTGGTGCACCCATTTAGAGAGTGAACCAGTGGATGGAAAATTTCTCTTTGTCTCTGTCTCTTTCTCTGTAAGTTTGACATTCAAATAAATATTTCTTAAAAGTCCTTAAAAGTAGCTGTAGAAAGTTAGAGCTCAAGGGTCAAAGATTTGTTTCAGTTGGAACATCCTGTAAAGGACAAAGAGTAAAGTTAATCTAGAATCCTGAGCCTTTAAAGTGAGTTTAATATTTTTCAATCTTATTTTTAAAAATAATCATGTATTAGATTTTAAAATACATTCACATATTATATTGAATTATTTATGATTTTTCAATATTTAAGACATTAAACATTTAAGATAGGGGATAGGTGTTTGGTTTAGCGATAAAAATGCCAGTTAGGATACCTGTGTCCTACATCAGCCTACTTGGGTTCCTTACCTGGTTCTTGCTCTGGATTCCAGCTTCCTGCTAATGTAGATCTTGGGAGGAAGCAATAGTGGCTGGAGTGATTGGGTTCTTGAAGCCCTCATGGGAAACCTGGATTGAGTTCCTCACTCTGGGCTTTGGCTCAAGTCCTTAAGAGGATTTGGTGAGTGAACCAATGAATGGGAGCACTCTCTCTCTCTCTCTCTCTCTCTCTTTCTCTCTATTTCTATCTTTCTCTTATCTCTCTGTGTTTCAAATAACTAAAGCCTTAAAAATAATTTGAGAGGAAACACATAATTTTGTTTACTTATAGCTTACCTTATTCTTGACTGACTCTATGAAAATATCCATAAGATTTGTGGTAGATTTGCAATTCATTTTAGAAGAACATGTTTTCTGAAATTGACTTTGCTATTTTCATTTGATATCAAAATTTTTTTTAAATTTGATAAGCAAAATATAGGTTGAAATTGATACAATATAATCTTTATTTATGTCTACATGGAAAATTGCAGGTGCTTTTCTATTTCAGCATAGAAAATAGAACCTATCCCCTGAAACATGTTGAGGATTACCTCTTAGATCCTAAAAAGGGAAAAGCTATGTTTTTCATGCTTCAAGTTTCTTTATGGTAAATGATAAGAGCCAAGTTTCTAGTTTATAACTTCAGGGTCTCCTACACCCGACTCTTAACCCCTAATAAACTAAGGTGGCCAGTCCCTTATGGAAACTCTGGATTTTCCTTCCTCTGTAAATTTGGGCTTTCTGTTTCTAGTGCCTGAAATATGTGACCCCACTCTCCAACTTCAATGAATTTTTGTTTAAAATCCTTTCCCATGTTCAAATTCTGGCCCCAATTCCACACCCAAGCTCATATGCATCTCTTTTCAGCTAGTCAAACAGCAAAACATGGAAAACACATATAAAAACCACTAGAGGAGATGCAGAAAGGGGATAAAATATGTAGTTCTTATTTACAGAGAAACAATTCTGTTAAAGAAAGAAAAATCCTTTGGAAAAGAGGCTCAGTGGTACATCACTGAAGGGATTAAGCTTATTAATTTAGAATTTAATATGCCCCACCTCCTCAATCTAGTCGTTTAATTCTATCACACCAGTAAATCGAGTCTTCCTGAGTTGTCGTCATCAGGTACCTAATAAAAACACAAATAAATCAAAGTCAACAAACTTTATTTATTCAGAAATTTGGGGCAAAATGATATCACAATGAAGGTTCTAATCATGAATAAAGTATATTGAAAAAGTCTTACATCAATAAGTGTGTGTTGGCAGTTCCACATGACATCATATGGTAGATACAAGAAGAATTTTATGTTGATTTAGACTACTATTTTATTGCAGTTGTATCAAATAAGTTAAACCTCCTCTTAAGGGCTTTAAAAATGTTTACCTTTTCCAGGCAATTACTTAACTTTGCAATTATCCAGAGCATGATTTCATGTGGAGAATAAACTATAATAAATAATATATTAAAAATCAGAATTTTCGTCTAGTACTTTTAAACAGATTGTATTTCTTTATTGATCTTCCATATGTGTTGAGTCACTATTTTCTCTGTTCTCTATTGGTTCTTTAAAATGTTCATTGAACATATTAAATGTAGCTGCTTTGAAGTCTTTGTCGGCTAGATCCAGTCTTGGGGCCTCTCAGAGTCTATTTCCATTGACTACTTCTTTTCCCCCTGAGGATGGGTCACACTTTTCTTCTTTTTAACATGTCTCATATTTTTTTTATTAAAAACTAGACATTTTAGATAATACAACAGTTATGGTTCTAATCTTCTTTGCTTCTGAGGGCTTTTGCTATTGCTAAAGTCTTTTTTTTTTTTTTTTGGTTGTTGTTCTTATTTCCATGGACCACCTAATTTAAAAAAATTGTTAATTAACTTATCTATTTGAGATATAGAGAGGGAGAGAGACAGAGGGAGAGTGACAGTGAGTGAGAGAGAGAGAGAGAGAGAGAGAGGGGAGAGAGAGCACCTGATTCCATTGGTTCAGGTCTCAGATGTCTGCAATGACTCGGCTGGATCAGGCCAAAGCTGGGAGCCAGAAGCTCAATCCAGGTCTCCCCCATGGATGGCAGGACACAAGTACTCGAGTCACCCCTTGATGCCCCCCAGGATTCACATTATCAAGAAGCTGGAATTGGGAGAAAGACATGAATTCAATGCAGGTATCTCAACTGATAGTGATTTAACTGCTAGGCCAAATGCCTGCCTCCTTCCACCTTTATTTAAAAAGGAAACAATTCTAGACTAGACCTAATAAGCATAATCTACCACACCTGAAGAATGTCTGTTAGACTGTCTGTACTCATATATTTTAAAAGATTCTCATTTTTTTAGGCTGGCTCCCTAGTGTTCACCCTTGAGTCTGCCTGGTTTACAGATCTACCAATGATTGTGCTCAAACACATCAAGTCTATAAACGCTTCCACTCTTTTCAGTGGATATGTGTCTGGTTTGTGGAGAAGATCTTAAGCCTATGCTATTTTTTTTTTACAGGCAGAGTTGACAGTGAGAGAGAGAGACACACACAGAGAAAGGTCTTCCTTTTCCATTGGTTTACCCCCGAAGTGGCCGCTACGGCTGGCGCACTGCACCAATCCCAAGCCAGGAGCCAGGTGCCTCCTCCTGGTTTCCCATGTGGGTGCAGGGCCCAAGGACCTGGGCCATCCTCCACTGCACTCCCGGGCCACAGCAGAGAGCTGGACTGGAAGAGGATCAACCAGGACAGAATCCAGCGCCCCAACCGGAACTAGAACCCGGGGTGCCAGCACTGCAGGCAGAGGATTAGCCTAGTGAGCCACAGCACCAGCCAAGGCTATGCTATTTTCAAGTCTGCCCAAGTCTTCTTTCTGCTGGGCCCTCTCAGGTACCCCCTGCATGAGTGCACAAAGTTCAGACAGCCAGCAATGCATGGAATGCTTATCAAGGTCCTCAATGGCTGTCTTGTTTCCAGGATTTCCCTGTTTAGTCCTCTGGTATTTCATTTACACCCCAGCAGGGACTGCAACCTCAGGCAAGGAGAGCTTCTGGCTTATCCCATTTGCTACTGTGTGGGTTGCTCTCCATGCCTTCTAAATACAGTCAGCAGCATCATGCAACAGCAAAGCTAGCTAGTTTTCAGACTGCTTTGGAAGATTTCTGGGTTACTGGGATGATAGTTTTGTTGAATGTGTCCTGTTTTACCATTATTTATGGGGAAGAGGATTGCTGTTCTTGTACTCCTTCATAACCAAAGGTCTGCCTCCCTTCTGACACTGGAATCATGGATTTTAGAAGCTTACCTTTGATTCATATGTGGTTTTTGGACATCATTTCTTAGCACACAGTTACCCATGTTTACATTGAGAAAAGTGGTCAGGTATCAGCCCCATATGGTCCGATCATAGGTCTATGAAGAAATGAATAGCATTCTAACTCACACAGTGTTAAAGATGAATACCAGCTAATAAATTACAGATTTCTCAATTAAAAATAGACTCTTTAAATTGGTAATAGTTTTCAAACACTTTTAGTGCATAAGTGTCGCTCCCCCTCTTCGTGGAGGAACGACACAGGACCCTGCGCTGTTCTTTCGTCTGCTCGGCCCTCCCCGGGTTTGCTGCTGGGCGGTTCCCCCTAGCCACTTTCCCCACTTCCGCGGGGGAGCGGCACACCGCCGGCCAGCTCTCTCGGGGGCTGCACAGGTGTTCCTTCAGATAGATGTTCCTCTTAGATGTTCCTGGTGCATGTTGTCTCTCTCCTCCTTTATAGTCCTCTTCCACCAATCCCAACTCTGCTACCCACACGCCGAGTACGCTGCTCTCCTCCAATCAGGAGCAGGTCCTGCTGTTTATTGGTTGAACTGGAGGCAGCTGTGTAGAAGCTGTTTTCTCCTCTCCCAGCGCCATATTGTGGGAGAGCAGATGCATAGAATAAGTCTTAATTCCAGTAACTTAGTCTAGTCCGAGTTGCTCCCCACAATAAGTAGGAAAAGAAAGACTATAATCTTTTAAACTCCCAGATTCTGTCTTCTAGTAAGCAATATAGAGAATGCTGTAAGAAAAATGCCCTCAAGAGGAACAATTCAAGCAGAAATCAGTGAGCACACATTCCCATTTGTAGTATTAGCCTCAGCTGGCTCCCTAGAGAAATTTCCCTAGGTGCCAGTTTTTTGAGTTTTGTTTGAAAAGCCACAGAATCTTCATAAAATATTCAAAGGTGGCTAAAAAGAAGGGGGGAAAACAGCAGCACCAATTACACAAAAGACAGGATAAACTCTTCTTGTCTAGTTTGTTTTCCATTACAGTAGTACCCCTTGGCATCTCTGGTTGTGAACTGGGTAACTTTGGTGTTCTGCTGCTGTCCTTCCATCTGGTCTGCCAGCAGCTTAAGGGAGGTCTAAATCTAGCCTTTGCTTCCATTTTCCATCAGCACTATCTGAACTAGTCATTTAGACACATTTAGTACTCTCCTGGACTTGAACTCTCAACCAGGCATTAGAGCGCACCTAAGAAATTTTTTAAAAGCTTGCCACTTATGGGAGGTAATAGTTTGGTATTTTCTGGTTCCTGATTGCATTCCTATTTTTCTTCTTGAAAAAAGAAGGGACCAGAACACATTTATTAAATCATGGCTTCCATGCCAGAGATTTTTTTTTTGCCTCTTTGCAGTGTGATATGCTTATAATTATAATTTATGATATGTTTATAGTCAACATGCCTTGTAAAAAGTAAAATGTCGGTTTATCAGTTTCAATCTCTAGAAATAAAGATTGAATGGGGAAGGAAGGCTGAGTTCCAACCATCCATTAGGCTGATATATTTATACCACCAAATAATTATGCCATAAAGTTAGCACAGATTGATTGTCGTGGACATAAAGCATTAACAGAAGTCTTTTAAATGTGGCCACTAAAGCATCCTTGTATTAAAGTATAGATAAGATATTGATCAGAGTTTTGGTCCCTGCATATTTACTCCTTCTGAATAAGAAAACAGAGGTGACTATTAACTCTGTTATGTTGTGCATTACCACACTGTTTCCACTACCTGTGAAGTCTGAGAGCTGGATCATTTTAAAAGAATTAGTCACTATGTTGAGTTCCTTCTTCTTTTTTCTTTTTTTTTTTTCAGGCATGTTTCCATTCCATGCTTTGCTATTGCTGTAAAGTATTTTCCTATTCAATGGCAATAAAAATAGGTACAAATCTACCTACACACACAAGGAAACACAGCTAGCTTGACTTCGGCTTACCTCCCACTCCCCAGGAATCCAAAGAAGCATCGTTTCCCTCTCCTTCATCCCGGCTCCCAGGAAACAGAAGGCTTCTCCTGCCCATGCCCTCCAATTTCTGATATTCTCTTCTCTGGAAATAATCTCTGGTCTCTCCATTCAGGTAGACCTGGGCCTGCAACACCTTTCCCTTCCAATAAACCTTCAGAAGAGACTTACAGCTATGGCTGTCACAGACACAAAGCTGGTGACTCCCTTGACTGGTTACACCATCTATTGATAATCAGCCAAAGCAAAGGAGGTTTAATTACAATGGAAATAAGTAGATGGGGAGTAAACAATTACTTCACAGGCAGGTTGGACCACATACATCGCTAGTAAGGTCCATGAGTTCCTTGGAAGCCAAGTCATAAATCCCATAAATCCCTATGCACTTAGCATAGTGCCTTACGTAGGGTATGCTGTGGGTTTAATAAATATTTGGTTAATGAATGATTGAGTGAAATGGATGGGTGAATAAAGAATAATGAAGCATCCTTTCAAGTGAAATTAGCAACAGTTTTCCTGAAATAATGTAGGAAAACACCTGCCTTTACATAGGGGTCTGGACTAAATCTCTTTCAGAATCACCTAGTTCTTTGCAAATGAAAATCTCGGCTTTTTATTTATCAGAGTGAGTGACTCTGTTACTCAAAACCTGACAGTCATATCCATTTTGCTCAGAGTAAAACAGCCTATGCAACCTACCCATGAGCTCACATTGCTGTTTGAAATATTTTTTAAAATGTATTTGTTTTTATGTATTTGAAAGAGGGAGACAGACATAGAGAGCTTTTCCATTCACTGGTTCAATCCCCAAATGTCACAACAGCCAGGGCTATGTCAGGCTGAAAACAGGAGACAGAAACTCAATCTGGATATCCCATGTGGGTGGCAAGGACCAAAGTACTTGGGTCATAATCTGTTGTCTCCCAGGGTAGGAATTAGCAGGAAGCTAGAATCATGAATAGAGCAAGGACTTGAACTCAGACTCTCTGATGGATATGGGATGCACACATGCCAAGCTGAATCTTAACCACTATTCCAAAACTTTACCCCTCACCTGGCTCTTTTGTTACCTTTCTAGCTTAAGTTTTTAATTTACCCCCTTGCTCATTTCCCCAGCTCACACTGGCCTCCTCAGTATTTCTTGGAGGACCCCAGTGCTGATTATTCTCAGAGAAGACTCATTCCTCATTTCCCTTGTATGTCATCTTTGCGTGGAAAACAAGCTTGATTATTCTAATATATACCCTTGCCCAAAATATTCTGATCACCTTATGTGTTTCTGTTTCTTATTAGCATTTACATCTCTTTATTAATCTAATGCATAGCTAAGTTATTTATCATGTTCTTGTCTGTTGCCTATGATCCACCTCCATTCTCACCTTAGAACAAGAATTCCATTAGGGCCAGACTTTTTACATTTAACTCACTGTCATGCCTATGACATGCCTGGCATGTTGTTTGTCAGATGAATTATTTCTTTTAAACTAGTTAGCATCTTGGGAGTTGGAGAACTAAAGTGTGATGTTGTAATTATTCTTACACTGAGCTACCCATCAAGCTCCTACAGAATTTTTCTTTAAATAGATTCCTGGGTTGGATCACAGAAAATTCCTATCCAATGGTCCAGGATGGGATTCCAAAATAATGGCTTGGGGGATGCGTTGAGGGGAAGACTGAGATGATTGTGATAGGGTCCCTGAATGGCAGCCAGAGTATGACTTGGAAATCTTACCCACCTAACTTCAAATCTCTACTCTGCCGTTTATAGCTTAGCTGTGTGACCTTAGGCAAATTACTTGTTGAAGCTTATTCTCTACCAGTCTCTTTATCATCTGTAGAATGGGAACAAATATTTAATGAATGAACAGTTGAAAGAATAAATGGATCTAAGGCTACTGAAGGGGTAATCTATAAATAACAGCACAACTAAAGGCTGTAGCAGAGTCTTCAAAGGTGAGAGGCATAATTTGGGGGTGTTAATCGCCTAGTTTCCCCTAGACATAGTTACATTGAACAAATAAGCAGAAGTAAATCCTTTCTATTTTTGCAGCTTTCTCTCTTTGACAAAGGCTAAGCTTACTGGGTCTTCGGGAAAGTGTGAACTATTTAATCTCTACTTGCAGTATACTGGGGTTGGCTAAGGCTGGCAAATTATTTGGTTGTTGTTGGCTTTGGACAGAGTTTAATGTTATTAGTCCTTTGAAAAATATTTCAAGTTTATGTGATAGACACATTTTGATTTAAAAAAATAAGTAGTATATTACCAGGGGTATTAATAAGTGATCATGTTTGAAATGACCATGTGTTCTATTGATTCAATGAGTATGACACCCAAGAAGATTCCTCCTAGGGTTTTGGTAACTACAAAAAGAGAATTCATTCACTGGTTTAAGAAATGCCAGGTTTATGAATGATCATATTTAACTATATATGCTACACAAAAACTGCTATTTTCTGACAACTTTGAAATGTATTTTCACAAAATAATTGAGACATTATTTTCCAACATTAAGTAATTCATCCACAAATTCACTGTGATCTTTCTCTGACCTGATCAATAAGGAGGACTATTTTCACAGAATCATTTATCTTTCAAGTATTCTCAGTTTTAACCTAATGCTTGCATGTGAAGTTTATATTTGTCAATCAAGTACTGCTTTGAAAATATCTTTGTCATTATGTAACAGACTACGTATGTCTCTTGAATTTTGATTTAACATTTACTTGTTTACAGTTCATCTTCTCAGAAACTATTTTATATAGTAGCAGGTACCTAGTTCTTTATTTCAAGGCTTTATGGAAATTAGATTCCTGACTTTGACCTAAGAAGAATGTACTATGCCTTTATTGTTTGAGTGATTGGCTTGCCAGATATAATAACATGCTGTTTTTAATCTATGTAATCAAGAAAAGTAACATTAGCTAGAAAATTATAGAAAGTGCTATATATACCCCAGGGCCACACCCATGCTGAGTCAGCCCTCCAGGAATCCTTTCTCTTTTGCCCAGTTTATTGCCATTAACAATCCTCATTTAAGAACAACAAAAGTGAAATCACACAAGCGAATGGAAACTTTCAGTATTAACTTCTAGCACAAAGACATCTGGCTACTAGAGAAAAAAAATATTACCCACCCTCACCAACAATAAATTAGATATTTTGAAAAAGGCTGTTGGCAAAGTAATGTGTATAAGGCACTGAAATCATAATTGGCACTACCGTTTTGGCCCTGTGACCAGTTTTACATCAGGGACTTATTTTCCAGCTTTTTCCTCTGAGTTGTTGTAATCATTTGCTCTAGTAGAATCTAAATTGAATGGCATGCACAATAAATATGCTCCCTCCTAGAGCTCACCCAGGCATTGTAAAATGCAAAGGAAAAACAGTGGGAGGCATTGAAGTGGTTCACAAACTGACCTTTTAAAAACCAAATAGGAGAAAAGAACACAAAAAGCCCAGGTTAGTCCAGAATCCCACCCACACTACTGGAGAGCCCACCATTTAACTCAGTCAAGCACACATCTTTACATGTCACAAAGAAACAGACCCAAAGACAATGAATGTCAGACTAGATTCATAGATAGAACTCGGGTGAAGTTAACTTTGGAGTGTGTGAATTTATTTTTCCTAAGTTGATAAACATACTCAGTGTGTAGCTTTGCAATACAATTTAGGTTACATAAAAGGGCCAACTAACTAAAGCATTTTCTGGCTGTCCATATAGGACTCCATGGAAAAATATATTTTCATCTGAAAAGAAATTCCAGCAGATAACTCAGAAAAATCCAACTGGTGATGTGAATATTCATTTTTCTCTCTTTTCCTTAATATCATCATCAGTAATACACATTCAGCTATGAGGACAGAGTTGACCCTTTGGTGAATAATGTGTGAAACAAACCTAGATTTGGGGCTAATCTTGGAAGATGCCAGTTCTGGATATAGAATAATTCCTAGGATAACTTAATAACACAGTATAGCTGATACGCATTAATGATCATTTTCCTTAAAACCTGGAGTATATGAAAATGAATGAATGTTACTAAAAAGGTTAAGTAATCAAAACAAAAAACTTCCAAAGAATATTAATAATTAATTGTCAATTCTCATTTAAAGCACAGGAATTATTATTTCATTGACCCTGCCTTTCCCCTCATGAATTACTAGTTAAGATCATATACCAGTAATTTCCTAGTACATTATCCAAGGATCAGCTCCAGGAAATGAAGCCAAATAGCTATAGTATTCCTTGAGCTGTTGTTTCTGTCCTGGAGTCTTTGCTAACAAAATGATCCCAAATTTTTCCATTGATATATGAGCCTGAGCAGACAATCACCAGCAGGTGGTGACAAATCATAGACAGGACCATGAGGGTTTTAAATTTAAAGTTAGACCCCTGACTACTTAGATATAAAGGTTTGACTAGGTTATTGCAATAACCCTATAAAAAAACTTAATTGAATTAATTTGAACTCTACTTATGCTATGGCGGGGGAATAATAGCAGCTAGTTTATTTGATGACTTTTTTCACCAGAACAAAGACATTTAAGACTACTCCTTCTTCTCTCAGTTATTATGGTGTCCTATCGATTTTGATAAAAAAAAAGAATGTCCTCTTTTCTGATGCTTTTGGAATGGTTTGTAGTCCTTGTTGATGTTTTATTTGTGAATCAAGAATTCTTGAAGGACATTCTTCTTTATTTCCAAGTATTTATTTTAGAATTTAAGTACTTAAAGAGAACAGAATCATCATTTTAAAACATTTTATTTATGGGCCGGTGCTGTGGCATAGCAGGTAAAGCCGCTGCCTATGGTGCCAGCATCCCATATGGGTGTCAATTCGAGTCCCAGCTGCCCCAGTTCCAATCCAGCTCTCTGCTATGACCTGGGAAAGCAGTAGAAGGTGGCCCAAGTCCTTGGGCCCATGCACCTCTGTGAGAGACCCAGAGGAAGCTCCTGGCTCCTGGCTTTGGATCCGCCCAGCTCTGGCCCTTGCAGCTATTTAAAGAGTGAACCAGCAGATGGAAGACCTCTCTCTCTCTCTCTCTCTCTCTTCCCTTCCCTTTGCCTTTCAAATGAATAAATGAATATTTAAAAAACATTTTATTTGTTATCTTTTGAGATATTTTAAATTTACATTATAGTCAAAGGCTTATTGGCTCCACTAAATAAAGGGTTCAACAAATAAAAAGTAAAAAGACCATAATCAGCATTTAATTACTGTTAAATGATTATG